TCATCCCATCCCCCATTTTCTTCCCCATTCAAATCGCTCACCTCTAACCTTACCCTATCCTATCCTCAGCCAACCTATCCTAACCAAATCAACCTCACCCAACAAATCAATACATAAATACCACTTCAAATATCACCAATACTCAAACTAGAAAGGAACAAAAGACTTCCTAATCAAATAAATATAAGTTCTTATAAATTATATTGTATTGTGTTGTATACCTAGGTAGTATATAAAGATCTCACCTCACCTCACCTCATCTCACCTCATCTCACCTCATCAAAACCAATCAATCAAAATCATGATGAAATATTAAGTTAAGTTAAACTAAACTAAAACTACCTAGATAAAATACCCAAGGTAAACTCAAGTCAAGCGAATCTCAAAGATAAAGAATCTCAATGAGAACACTAAAACACATTAAAAACAGTAGAGACCCCCCCAATCTTCATCCTATCCTATCCTGCCTACCCCTATCCCCTTCACCAATCAAATGGTGAGAACGCCATCCCTCCCCAAGGTAATCATGAAAATATGATGGTATGATGGTATGTATGTAGGACATCTGAACGCCGATATTTGATGTAATAATAGAGGTAAGAAAAATTGGGTTGGATTCATGTAGAATGGGATGAATGATATAAATGGGTAGAACGAATCATCTTGATGAATACCAGCTGATTTAAGAAGTAGAACTTGAAGATCTTGTGGCATATTCGTATCGATTGCCCACTTCTATTGGTCTTCCTGGCTCCCGTCTTACGATATCCATTGTACTGATAACACCCTGAATATTAGGTCGTGGTGATGTACGGATATGTGAGTTGGTGCTTAGATAATAATCATTCAAGGTATTTGGTCGACTGCGTGTTCTATCGATTGTTTCGAATAACATATTTGAATTCGATTCTCTGGAAACATTCGTGAATTGACCTGAAGGTGGAGCAGAAACTTGTGATCCACTAGGAGTTGGTCGAGTACCCACGACATTGGCATCCGGATTCAATTCGGCATTTGAGATATCAATGTTTCCTCTCTCAACCGCATCCTTTAACCATTGTTCCCATTCTTCATCCATTGGTGCAGTTAAATTTCCTGCTTCTCTTTGAGCAGCAGCAGCTCTCAATCTCTCATTCAATGCCGTTCCCACACTTGTAATTTCACTATCACTTTCTCCATCATCTTCCTCTCTCTCATTCTCCTCCAATTCTCCATCATCTTCTAATTCTTCCTCCTCCCCTTTATCCCCTGGCACTGTAGGTCGCACATTTACAGGCCTTAATTCCGGCGATACCCAATCCTCAATTCCATCACCAGTTGTATCCCTAATAATAATTCCTTGTTCCTTCTCAAATCTTTCCTTTGCCCAACGTGTACCTTCCCATTTTGTCAAAGTCGCAATTTCATAATTCGTAAGTTTCAAGTTATCAAAGGCTCGAAATAGTCGTCTGTGCCATGGAAATCTCGATAATCGAACTCGATGCGGCGGATGCGAATAATCTAACCCGGGGTACTTTGCTTCCTGCGAAGTTAAGTGACCATAGAATGCTTGAGTTTCATGACGAACTTCAGGCACAAGACTTCGCTGTAGAAAAGCTTGAAAACTTTGAGGATCGCCTGTTTTTGGTTTTGGAAACATGCACTCATAAACGAGCTGATCAATAGGGCGTCCCTTCATGATGGCTGAGGATGCGATTGTACGTTGAAAGTAAGACTGGATTTTATGACGAGGCAGGCCTTAAAAATTGACCGTGGCAGCGTTGGAGCCGATAAGAAGGCGTGATTGTAAAAGCTTTAAATACCAGGAATATCCTTCGAAGGATGATTAGGCACTGAAGGATTGAATTTCTCTTTCCCAAACTTGTGTAACTTGATGGTTAAGTAAAGTAATACTTGGATTTCAACCAGGAAAACTTATGAGTAGTGGTAAAGTTGTGGTAGGTGAGTTTGACCTTGTCCTGATCAAATGTGATGATTCCGGACCAATTGTGATTGTGTATGATATCCAATGTGTAATGATTCACGAAATTCCCGATATGAATCTGTCCTTGGCGTTGTCGATGATATGATAATCGAACAAAGATTGGATGAATTTCAGACACAAGAATTGTCGTATCGGAATGTCTATCTGTCTGTTCCTTTTTTCAATTGCCCCTAGAGTGGTACAGCTTGAGGATATCTCGATGGAAGAAGGGAGTACAGCTAGGAATGAAGTTGAGGGATGGAATTGAGTTTGCAGAGGAAAGATCTTGATTCTTTTTAAATTTTTTACACTCTCCAGCTGAATGTTGAAGGAATGAGAGAGAAATTGAATAAATAGAATAATTTTCGAAGGGGCGATTAAAAGAAGAAGAATGTTTAAAAGAAGGTTCAAAAGAAGGTCTGGCGGTGGAGTTTGAATGGAAGTGGAAGTAAGTGGATAATAATGATGAAAGGAGTATTATGATAATGATGTATGGAGTGGGTATGGATGGGAGGTATGGGTGTGGAAGGTATGGGTGGTAAGGAAAGCAGGGTATGTAAGGAAGGTAAAGAAGGTAAAGAAGGTAGCTAGGTGGTGGCTAGTAGCAGTTATTACTAGGTTAGGGTTGTGGGGTGTCGATAATCTCCCAAATGAGGTGATTTGTTTGGGCGATGTTTTAGTGTTTTAGTGCTTTTAGTGGTGCTTTAGTGGTGCTTTAGTGGTGCTTTGGTGCTTTGGTGCTTTGATGTTTTGTTATTCTGGTATTTCTGGGTATTTGGGTCACTGGCTGTTTTGCTTCGGTGCTTCGGTTCGCGTGCTGGCTGGCTCGTTTAGTGGTTCGTAAAGTGCGAAATGATTCTTGTAAAGCCTGTGTCGGCATGTACGGAGTAACCTGCAACCCGTGGGTCCCAAAAAGATCGGGTCTTGAGAACTCTGGACTCCAATCTCTTACTCGTTAATATCGAATAATCCTCCGTATTATACCAAGGGGCTGGCTGCTTTGGAATGTACTCGGTAGAGATTAGTTCATAGCGAAAGACATCAAACTCCCCCAGTAAGGAAACCCTTCGATAATAATCTCGAGATGGTTTGGTATAGATGAGAAAGTCAATGGGTGGTGTCGGAGGTCCGAGGAGAGATAGATGCGTTATTTTGATGTCGAATTGCTAACCTGGTACCGTATGATGAATTCCTTTTAAATTAAGGATTGATTGATTGATTGTAGTAATTGATATTGATCATGGAGAGTAAAAGGAGGAATATGATGTCTGTCGTTCTTTAACCCCTTTCCTTTCCTTTCCGTTCTTTCCTTTCCTTTCTCTCAATTCACTTAAATCAATTCCCTCTTATAAATCTTTGGAAAAAATCAGGAAAATCATACGAGGTCGAAAGTATGCGTACTGCGTAATGGCTGAGTCCTATGATTTCAATTTTCCCTCTTCCATGAACCCGAAGATGTATCTATATGTACGAGTCGGTATGTGTGTGTGTGTGCGTATGTGTGCGTAGATGTGCGTATGTGTGTGTATGTCACCGTTGATATCCTTTGATTGACCCTTGTACTCCGTTATGCAGGTTTTTCATTAATTTATCGAATTATTAATCAATGATCCTCGTCGATATGCTTCTATTCTCAGAACTCAATCTTCCGGGGAATGCTTGAAATGTGCTGGGAACTTTTTAACTTTTGAACCCCACCTGAGTTACAGCGCAGTGGTAGCAGTTTGGAAATGCCGTGGTTTTAAGTTTGAAGATCAGGTCGATGGATAAAAAGGGTAAATGAAGCTGGTAGATGATATTTGTAGATGGATGGATAGATATAAATATATAAATGTAGATGTGGATGTGGATATAGATATATATATATATATAAATAATAAATGGATGAATAGATAGATAAAATATATAAATAGGTAAATAAATATAACCTACACAGAGGAGTATAATGATGATGATGATGATGATATGATTGAAGTATATACAAAGTAGAAAAGTGTAATGATTCCTTGTGAAAGTCCAGATCTGTAGACTAGAAATATATGTATGTATGTACGTATGTAGGTATGTATGTATTTATGTACTAGGCAGGTGGTTTAGATCTGGCGGATGAATGAAATGGATGGTAATGGTTAATGAAATGGTTAAATGTTGGACCACTCCGTACAGACACCACGTACTTGCATCGTAGATAGTAGATACTAAAGTCATATATTCCTATCGTGCAATTAATTCCAATAGATGAAAGTAACAACTAACTTTTGAATCCTGCTTATCATTCAGTCTAATTGCTGTTGGTGTTCATATCCATCCATCTATCTCATCATGATAGGTATTTGTTATGTATAATCTATACGGAGTACATATGAAATCCGACCTACTTTGCAACCCATCTAGAGCACCAAACTTTCATCAACCTTGATTGAAGAAATGAATCGTGTTGTCGTGTTCACTAACTACTGACCACGTCGATATTCCATGTTCCATGTTCCACCCTCTTTTCACATACAGACTCACATTCATATCATACTCGGTCATTTCATGTAAGTCTTACAATACAAAAAGCAGGTCTCTCTCTCTCCTAGCTTCCAAACATGGTTCGTCGCGAGTCGTAGACAGGAACTGACCACGTACTCCACATACTCCACGTACTTCATACACACATACACACATACATACCGAGACGACCTTCCTCGTACGAATATACGAATCCATCTTCCTGTCGCCGGAGATATAAAGAGCAAGCTGCATACAGTTCGCATAAGACTCCACAAATATCCTCTCATTCCCGTATCCTTGTGACTGTATCACCATCCTCTGTGCATCCCATTCTCACCAATGCCCGTTTCCATCTTCCCCAACATCCCTGGATCAAGTCCTTTCTCACCATACCCCAGCTCTGCAAAAAAGATACTTAAACTGCAGGTCATAAGATCCAATCACTTGGTCTTGAGATCCAGCCCTGCAACGTAATACCACCTCGGGGCAACCAAGGATAGATACATAATCCCGCATTAATAAACATGATGGATTTATTTTCTGGTCTTTTTCTTTCCTTACATACATTACCTTACCAGTTGTTGCTACCCAATAGTCACGCTTTTGTGAAAATGCATGAATTGGAGTAGGACAACGTTACTACAACTCCGCACTTTAGGATATCCAATCACGGGGTTCAACATCTAAATCTTGAAATAACATCTCTCGGCTATGTAGGGTTGAAATAGCCAATCATCAATGATGAATACAGCACCGACCTTCTCTTTCAAACCAGAACCTCTACTCTACATCTACATTTCTCCACATCGAAAGAAAACTTCTACCCAATAATTCTTTTTATTTTCTTCCCCTCAAACTTGTTATCAAAATCTAGCACTGTACTCGAGTAATTAACTTACTGACCTCCAATTCTCAAAACAACATACCCAACCTCACACAATCACCCAAACCAAAGCAATGCAAACAAACACGAGCAAAACCACGACCAAAAAACTAATGAATGACTGACTGACCAACTCCCAAGCAAATTCACAATCCACCACAACCCACTCACTCCACGCCACTCATCCGCCTCCCTCCAAAAAACCAAACCCATCCTCGACCCCAAAACCAGCCTTCTGGAAAGCTGCAAGTAAGAATAACAAATAACAACCAACACCATGCATGAAAAAAAATGAATGAATAAGCAACGTCTCGCATCCAATCAAACTGTAACCCCACCTCGTGATTTCCTACATACCCATTACAAGCTGAGAAAGAAGTGGATGTAAAGATGGCGAATATGAATATGAATGTGGACAAACAATATATTCTGAACGCTGCTCTGCTGAAGCTTTGCTTGCTCGGTGTACCAGATGTAGAGTGTATGGAGTACTTACTTTCTCTAGGTAGATATTCGATATACGACGTACACCACACCGAGTAATTATGCATTTATTTTTGAATATCTACCTAGGTACATAGGTATACATCTCAGTAAATTATGGAGGATACGGAGTACATGGAACGGTATCTTTTCATTCCGGCTCTTATTATTCGCATTGACAGATCCATCCAATCCAATCTATCCTGAAGAATGAAGAAATGATAAGGGTCTATTAAGAGGCTACATGTCATGTCATGTAATGTAATGTAATATACTGTACAGCGTACACCGTACAATGAACCCAAAAAAAAAAATCAATCAATCAATCAAATCTTCGAGGCAAATCAATATCAATATCAATGTCAAAGCCACACAACAGAATAATTTTGCTGACGACACACGCACATTACTTACTCCGTACTCTTTGATTTTTTATTTTTCTCCCACGGCGTCTCATCTTTCCTTCCTCTTCTTTTCGATATATATTTATATATATATATGAATCATATAATACCTAGGTAGGTACCTACCTACGCAAGCTACAATTGGCATAATTTACTCGTAGTAAGCACCTACCTACGTATAGTTGATAAACTCCGTCCATACATACACACATACACACATGACAATTTTATTTTGGCAAATCGCTACAGACAGAGAGATAGACAGACAAGATAGACAGACAAGATAGACAAAATAGACAAGACAGACAGATAGAAAGATTCATCTAGATTCCACATCATGAATCATCAACTCGGTGTACTATACTATACAGTACCATACAGATCTAGAATATAGAAATAGATTTTAACTTTATCTTTTTCCCTAAAAAGCTACTGCGTCGGTCGTTAAGCGTCAAGCGATCTCTACTCTCCCTGTACACTACATTTCCACTACACTACACTACACTGCACTGCACATCCCATCCCATCCCGAGTAGAATATACTATACTCGAGTGAGTAAATACATAGAGACCTAGATACCTAAATAAATCCACATACCATACATACA